AGTTAGAATGAGGCATCCCTGGCTGGTTTGGCTCAGTGGATTGAGCACCGACCTGCAAACCAAAAAGGTCACAAGTTTGATTCCCAATCAGGGCACATTCCTGGGTTGCAGGCCAGGTCCCCAGTTGGGGGCCTGCAAGAAGCAACCAATGGATGTTTCTCTCTCACATATTGATCTTTCTACCTCCCTTCCCCTCTCTCAATAAATACATAAAATAAAATAAAAATTACTCAAAAGAATGGGATAGGTTGATAGTTACTAACTTAAAAAATCCCCTCCCATAAAAAAATGTTTTTAAATTCCCTCCTCATAACTAGTGACAGATAACATTTATAGAAGAATATTATGCTTACATTGCCAAGATAATTAAAAAATACAGAAAACAAGATATAATGGGGCCCTGGCTGGTGTGGCTCAGTGGATTGAGCACCAGCCTGCCAACCAAAATGTTGCTGGTTTGATTCCCAGTCAGGACACATGCCTGGGTTGTGGGCCAGGTCCCCAGTTGGGGACACATGAGAGGGAACCAACTGATATTTCTCTCACACATCAGTGTTTCTCTCCCTCTTGTTCTCCCTCCTTTCCCCTCTCTCTAAAAATAAATAAAATATTTTTTTAAAAAAGATGAATGGAACTTACAAATATATTCTTATATAAAAGCTCATCAAGCTGTACATTTAGAATTATTGCAGCTGACTGTATGCAAATTAAACCTAAGTCTAAAAACAGATTGTGTCCATGTTTTCATGTAAATATGAAAATAGGTAGAAACCAGTCTGGAACAATGCACTTTGGATTTTAGGCAGCATTTACCTTGAGGAAAGGGAGACCTCTGCTCTTCCTCTACATCTTTCTTTATGGTTTAAATGTTATAAAAAGAAGAATGCATTAACTGGCTACCAAATAAATAAATAAATGTACAACATGTTTTTAAATCAGTAAGATAGCATTAATAAAATAATCAATTAATAAAATAAACAAAATCAACTGACAACAAATACACCTTGGAAGTCAACAAGTTACCGAGGACCCATGTAGAGATATAACCACATTCCCTCTTGGGAAGAATTTCATCTGGAACATGTTTTCACTATTTTTCTCTGGGAAAAAGTTGTCATTAACTCACTGGTCAACTTCTGTAAGGGGGTTTTCCTCCTGCCCTAGTCACAGCCTGAGAGCTGCACCTGGAGATGAGCAATGAGCACCACAGCCGCCCGGCGAGGTGCCCCACCCCAGGGAGCGGGGAGCCTGCAGGAGACCCAGGACCTGCTTGCAGAAGATGCCTCGCTCCTCCCCACACTTATAGTGCGCGGGGGTGATGCAGCTGCTGGAAATGAATATGCAGCACATCCATCCGTGGTGTGAATGGAAAAGCAATCGAATAATAAGGCTTTCAGATTAAAAGTGTCCCACAGCATTCCCTACCAAACGTGTGAAGATTTGTTTAACGTCTCTACGCAGTATTGGCATGGGGTGAGGGAATGACGATGAGAGGTTCACAGAGGCCAAGGAGGCAGAGATTTCTCAAACACTGAGGAGCTTATCTCAAGAACAAGAGCAAACCAGTGAGAAGCCTTAGACAGTTGGATCACATCTGCTGCTCCAAGGGGAATGCAGAGAGGTGAGCGTAGTGCAGGTGGGTGGAGTAGGTAGGAGGCTGGGGCAGTAAGTCAGGCAAAATAGTCTGGTGCCCTGAAACAGTGGGAGCAGTGAGGAAGGAGGCCAGTGGGTGGTTAGAGAGATATTGAAGAAGGATGTCACCTGGGCCTTAATGATTAATGCACATATCCTAAAAGGGAAGATAGGTGCCTGTTTGAATTAGGGTTCAATTAGTAAAGCCAAACTGTAGGAACTACAATGAATAAAGAATTCATTGTTGAGCCCTGGCTAGGATGGTTCAGTGGATTGACTGCTGGCCTTTGAACTAAAGGGTTGCTGGTTCAATTCCCAATCAGGGAATATGCCTGGGTTGCAGGCCAGGTCCCCAGTTGTGGGTGTGTACAAAAAGGCAACCATGCATCGATGTTTCTCTCCCTCTCTTTCTCCCTTCCTTCCCCTCTCTCTAAAAATTAAAAAAAAAAATTATTGTTGAAATTAGACCTCTGAGGAGGGGAGTTGAGGGACCAGCGAAGTTCGCAACCTGTCTGTCAGTCTGAGAAGCCAAGGATGGCCCAGCCACCAAAGAAGGACCACCAAGGGGAGGTTGATGGAGAACTCTAAAGGAAGCGTTTACCTTGACGGGGCCAAAGGCAGGCATCTGCTGATGGATGTGGGGCTGCTGTTGGTCAGTAGGGCTTGTAGGAAGAGCTGAATGCACAGTAGAGGGAGCAAGGACAAGCTGGAACCCACCAGGCACCTCTGCCTCTTCCTCTGTGGGTCATCTCACTGAACCATGATGGCATTCAGATGTAGTGCTCCAAATTCCTTTCTTGGCCAACTTTCACCTGAAACCACACAGGGAAGGGTTTCTGGGAAAATAGTTTCTAGCCTCACCCAGCTAATGGTGGGGGAAGATTCTGGAGGAAAAGTAGTTAACTCCATTTTGGACATGACTTTGAGCTGATGTCCAGGAAGCACCTGAGCTTTTTCAAATCTCTTCAATGTGCAAGCAAGCTGATTCATGACTCTAATGACTCTAGATTAGACTTCTAATCTACCCTGGGGTGAAGGAGTGGAAAGCAGCAGTCAGTTAAGAATCTATGGACTGAGGACTTCCGCCAAGATGAAGGCCTTATCGCACAACCAAGTTTAAAAACAACAAAGTTTTAGCATCAAAAACACAGCCAAACCACAGAAAATTGAACTATACGGAAGTCTGACAACAACAAACCCTTCAGCCAAACTGGCAAGAGGGGCAGAGCCAGCAGCAGGGCAGGGTTGGGCAGGAAAGATCCACTGGACCTACTGGAATGCGCGCCCCAGGTGCTCTGGCAGCCTTGGGCGGATCCCAGGTGTGGAGAAGGGGGAGGACCCACTGAGGGCGCAAGGTGGTGGACTCACTGAGGGCTGATCGCGGTCACACATTCTTGTGCAGATAAACTGGCGAAGGAGCGAGCAGTGAGACAGACTGTGCAGGCCCCAGTGGTGGGAAGTGGCGAAGGGGACCGCTATTGTCCCTCTATGACCCCACCCCCACATACAGGGTCACAAACCAGCGACCTGGGTGGCCCCGCCCTGGTAAACAACTAAGGTGCCTCTCCTCATACGTAACAGGCACAAACAGATCAAAACATGGCTCAAGAACAACTCAGAGCCCCAGAGCCCATAAATCTAAGTGATGAAGAAATAGCTAAACTTTCAGATGCACAGTTCAAAACACTGGTGATCAGGATGCTCACAGAACTGGTTGATTTTAGTCACAAATTAGAAAAACATATGAAGGCTAAACTAATTGAAATGAAGGAAAATGCACAGGAAACCAATAGTAATGGAAAGGAAACTGGGACTCAAATCAAAGGAATGGACTAGAAGGAAGAAAAAAATGACCAAACAGAAAAGAATGAAGAAACAAGAATTCAAAAAAATGAGGAGAGGCTTAGGAACCTTCAGGACATCTTCAAACATTCCAACATCCGAACTATAGGGGTACCAGAAGGGGAAGAGGAACAGCTATGAGTGGAAAACTTATTTGAATAAATAATAAAGGAGAACTTTCCCAATCTGGCAAAGGAAATAGACTTCCAGGAAATCCAGGAAGCTCAGAGAGTCCCAAAGAAGTTGGACCCAAGAAGGAACACACCAAGGCACATCATCATTACATTAGACAAAATTAAAATGAAGGAGAGAATCCTAGAAGCAGCAAGAGATAAGGGGACAATCACCTACAAAGGAGTTCCCATCAGACTGTCAGCTGATTTCTCAAAAGAGACCTTACAGGCAAGAAGGGACTGGAAAGAAGCATTCCGAGTCATGAAATCCAAAGACCTACAACCAAGATTGATCTATCCAGCAAAGCTTTCATTTAGAATGGAAGGACAGATAAAGTGCTTCTCAGATAAGATCAAATTCAAGGAGTTCATCATCACCAAGCCTTTATTATATGAAATGTTAAAGGGACTTACCTAAGAAAAAGAAGATAAAAAAGATGAACAGTGAAAGGACAGCAAACTCACAGTTATTAACAACCACACCTAAAACAAAAGCAAACTAAGAGGACAGCTAGATCAGGAGCAGAACCATAGAAATGAAGATCACATAGAGGGTTAGCAACAGGGGAGTGAAAGGAGGAGAAGGGGGGAGAAGGTACAGAAAATAAGTAGCATAGACGGTAGGTAGAAAATAGATAGAGGGGAAGGCAAGAATAGTAGGGGAAATATAGAATCTAAAGAACTTGAGACATGTGGTCATAAACTACAGGGGGGATGGTGGGGGAGGGGGTGTGCAGGGTGGAGGGGAATGAAGGGGGGAAATAGAACAACAGGAATGAAGGCAAGCTCAAGAAACAAAAGGACAGTTCAGAAAAGGTCTATAACTTGCAGGCTGTGACTTGGAACAGTGACATGGATAGGGCGGGCTCTACAGCACAGGTAGGAGGGGGTGTCCTGGAGAGATGGTCCGAGATGCCCCAGATATATGTCGGTGGGAAGGCCACTGCTTTGTATATTAAGAAGTGTCTCCTGGAATCACTATTTTAAAAGTGCCAGGACTTATAAGAAAAAAAAAACCTTACTTGATAATCACTCCACTTGTTTTGTTTTTATCTTATGATGCAAGCATAAGATAATATATTTAATGAATAATTCTTCCTTCAGCAATTTCAAAGACTAGTTTGTGAATAGAATTTGGCACCTTATTGTTTAACTCATAAAGCGAGTTTTGCCTGAGGTTCCGGGTGATGTAGTGAACATTCCACGCAGACAGGTGTGTACCATAGAGTCAGTGGAACCCCTGCTGTGGCCGTCCCCACCACTGCCGCTGCCACCCCCCACCCAGGCTGGAGGAACAGCGTAGGGGGAAGGTGGCAAAGACAGGGCAAAGGAAGATAACATTGCCAAAGGAACATGGAGGAAAATGATGCTTGCAGGTAAATTTTTCCCATTTCTACCAAATAATAAAGGTAATCAATGAGCAATTACATTTGCATTATTCTTTTTCCTCCACCTACTTAGTAATCAAATGAAATCTTGGCTCCTTGTTAGACTCTGTGCATGAAAGAAGGATATATTCCTCTGACTACCTTATACAAAACAGGGCTTCTGTTCCTCTCTCTACTCCGAATCTGCTATATTTTCCATAAGAGTACTTGCCTGTCTGATATTATGTTTACATGCATCCTTTATTTTGTTTTACATATCAGAATATGACCTTCTTCTCAGTCTGTGACCATTTTGTTCACTGCTATATCTCCAGAAAATCAAACAGTACCTGGCCTACTGCAGACAATTAAGTATATGCTGAATGAATGAATGAATGAATGAATGAATAAACATATAAACGACATTATATTCTAAGAATGGCTCCCTGAGAGAGAGAGCTGTCTTATGGCTATTAGAAAAGACTAAATCAAGATAAAAAAAATAGTATTCAGGTGCATTATATATTTTTCCAACAGTTCATCAAGCCTCAGAAAAACTGTATCCTCTACCTGCATGTTACCAAATAATAGCAATGGAAATATTGAATATACATTTTGGTCAGAAGAGCCTAAAAACTTTGCCAGTATCTATTCTCTTCCCCTACTTCTCTACTTACTTGTCTATTTCCGTTGGTGGGTCTTCTCCCTCCTGCTGCTGTCTAACTGGCATTTCCCTCGGATTTGCTTTGGACTCCTTCCTGACTTCTCTCAATTGTGAGTTTTTCTAGGTCAGCCTCTCAGGTCCCATAATGCCTTTCCACCTAGATGAAGGGGGAGGCCCCTGGTTGGACACTGTAATGGGACTCTGTCCTGGGCTCCATCTGACCTGTGTAACCCTTTGTATGAGGATATGGACAGCATTGCAAATTCTTCCCCTGTAACTTCGAGGACACAGCCTGACCTGTCTGTGCATCTTTTGCACTGTGCACAGTAGTTGGCCTATTGCAGGGATTAAAGAAGTTAATGGATGCCGATCAAATTTGTTGATGAGATTGAAGTAGTTAAGAGTGACATAATTTGGGGATTGGCTTTAAAATTTTCCATTAAAAAAAATGAATAGAATAGGCCCTGACTGGTGTAGCTCAGTGAATTGAGCACAGGCTACAAACCAAAGGGTCACCAGTTTGATACCCAGTCAAGGCATATATGCCTGGATTGCAGGCCAGGTCCCCAGCCAGCACAGGGTGCTTGAGAGGCAACCACACACTGATATTTCTCTCCCTCTCTTTCTCCTTCTCTTCCCTTCTCTCTAATTAAAAAAAAACTTAAAAAAAAATAATAGAATAAAATAAAGTGGCTGAGGACACAGATGAAATAAGTGAAAAAATGTTGATAATTGTTAAAACTGGTGGAGAGTTTATGGGAGCTCATTATATTCTTCTCTCAATTTTTATGTAACTTTTCCATAAAAAATGAAACAAAAATTTGTTGATTAGATCCAGGGAGGCTTGCTAATATGCTAATAGTTCTAGAAGCATTTATACAGTAAAAATTTGTAAATAAGATTCTAAATAGGATCTATATCTAATATATCTAATATAGCTATATCTAATATAGTTGTGACTTCAGGGAATTAAATATAAATTAGAAAAGCGGCAAAAGCACCTCAAACTTATCATAGCTTTGCTTGTCTCTTTAACTTTTAATTCTATTGCCATGTGTAAACTATATATAAAGTTTGTTAAAGCCTACTTCTCTGTCACATAGTTCACCATTTTATTTATCACTTATCACAGAAGTCTTTCCTAGAGATGAAATTTTCACATTCTTTATAGGGTGAAAATTCTATTGCCAAGAATCTGAAAGATGTTTGCTTATTTTCTATAGCCACTATTTTATTTATGCATTCACTTTTAATTTATTGACATTTCTCAAATTTGTGCATTTTGTCTGTCCAGTTTATTATTATTTATTAAAACTGAGTAACATAACTGTAAGCAGGCAATGATATCTACTTGTACATTTTATCACAACGTATTAATACATGCATATTACTTAATTCCGAAATACTCAGATTAAGTTTCTGCTTTGAAAAATTCTCTCATTGACTTACTGATATTTTCTTCAACTAGTTTTATGAAGAATACATTTCTCCCTAAGCACTGATCTGTAAGTAGTAGTATGTTTTCATGTGTTACGGTTCTCGGTGTCCTGTTTACTTGGCAGAGGAGGGGCATCATTTTTTTTAGTGTTCCCTATCACTAATTGCTTCACCATGTATCTCGTTTGATGGTAAAACCAGTCGTGTTTGCTTTACAGATAAAAAAGCAGATGCTCTGAGAAACTGACTTTTTTTTTTAAATTTAAAAGCTTTTATTTATTTATTTTTAGAGAGGGAGGGAGGGAGAAAGAGAGGGAGAGAAACTGCAATGTGTGGTTGCCTCTTGTGGGCCCCCAACCCAGGCAAGTGCCCTGAGCAGGAATCGGACCAGTGACCCTTTGGTTCGCTGGCTGGTGCTCAATCCACTGAGCTATACCAGCCAGGACATAAATTGACCAGCTTGACTAAGGCTGTATAGTTAGTAAGTTAAGACAGTTTAAAAAAATCCAGACTCTACATTGTTCACAATATTCAAATGCTTGAACTTTCAATATGAGGTCATGATATAGTATTGAGTGAAAATGGCAGATTCTAGGATGGTATGCAAAATATGATCCCACTTACAATTTAGAAAAGATTACATATGTATTATATATGTATATTATATATTACAGTATATATCAATATAGTTATGTGAATGTATTACTATAATGCATACCATATTATATATCACTATATTATTATCAATATCTAAAATTATTATATAGCAATATTTATTACAAATATACACTACATATTTAAAAGGAGAGCAAGCTGTTAATTACTACTGACACTGAGATTTGGGAGTTGAGAGTGGGGTGGAGAGAAAAATAGAACATTCTTTTGTTTCTACTTCGTATCCTTCTATATTGAACTTAAAAATGCTTTTTTCATTATATGTTATTATATTAAAATATTTTGTCACTATTATTGAAGACATGAAATGGGCTCATTTCTTATCGACACCATCAACATTCTTGAATACCTATTATGATGCTTAGGATGTTTTAAGTCCCTGTGTTCTCCAAATATTCTTATACCTGTAGGCCCTACCCTTTATTACATCTAATGCCTTAAATGTACTCATACCAAACGAAATTTATGTGAGTCAAATTCAAGTAATCTAGTTTTCAAAATGCCACGTCTCATAGTACTTGAGGGCACTGACTCTGATGTTTCAGATTTTTGAAATATTTTATAACCAAAGCACTTTTCTGAGGCCTCTCGTATTTCCCTAGGTCCTTGCAAAGATGCCATTGCCTTGGGAGTTGCGCATAAAATAAATAAAAAATGTCTCATGCTGAATATTACTCTAGATGCTTCTGACAAGAGGGTGTCCGTTCTCCAGAAATCTATCATCCGGCTGCACAGCTTGCCTTCCCTTTCCTCAGTCCATACCTCTTTTCCATCGCAGACCTAAAAAATTCTGTGCTTACATGCAATTTGCTTTTAGTATCTCCCATTTTCTTGTGAACCCTTTAATTAGGACAAAAGCATTTGAAGCAAGACAAAAGAGAGTACAAAAGCAATTATGCTCGTATTTTGAAATCAAATCCCTAGGTGTCAAGCATGTACATCCATATACCTGGGGTTAAATCTTGGGCTGATTTCTCTGAGTATTTGTTCTTTATTTCGTTCTGTCATACACAGGTCAATCACCAAATTTATTCAGTATTTACTATGTGAAAACTGAAAGATGCATCAGAATATTCAAGTCTAGGCCTATATAAAATTGTGAGGAACCAGAGCAAATTGTGAAGATAAAGGTCCGCTTCAAGACATTTTCAGTGCGTCATTCCTGGAATGTAACTCAATTTTTTTTTATCTTCTTTGCAGAGTGTTTTGGAGATCAAAGGAATGGGATGAGAAACTATCCACATTTGATTCGGATGAGGAAATCCTACCTTTACCAAAAAAGTATATTAAAAAGGAGACACTATCAAGCAACTATGTAAACCATGAGGAGAAGATCTCTGATCGAGTAATCACGTGTCCCTGTTCTGTATGCAAGCACAAAATTGGCCTACCTGGACTTCTCCTCCATAAGAAGCAACACGCAGCTCTGGCCACACTGGGTCTCACACGGAAGGGTGACAGTAAGCCAGCACCCTCAGTGATTGTTGTTCAGAGACAGCTAATGATTACTAAACTGTTGTCATCTCTTACATTTAGTGAAAAAGTTCTACAGAACATTAATCATGCTGTTGAACTACTTTGGAAGAAACAAATACCAGCAAACTATAATATTGGTAACATTCACAACAGTTTCATATATCCACAGAAAATCTGCCATCTGTTAATTAAAGGAGTAGCCATTTGCAATGACAGGAATTCTACATGGAAAGTTGATATGAACAATAAATTCACAGTAGTAAATAATTTTGGCAAGAAACCCAATGTGTGTTTTTTCGGTTTGTTTGACGGGCATCACGGTGCCTCAGCAGCAGACTTCGCATCAAGGGAACTCCCAGTTTTGCTTCTCCATCAACTTTCCAGATTTGATCCTTCCTACCAAATGACCACTGAAGAGCAAAAACTAATCAGTTCCTTTCACACAGTGTTTAGGGAAGAATACAGAGCTATAGAAAACCTCTTCTCTATGAAGAAACAAACAAAAGAGTTGAGGCATGGGCAGGAGAACATACACAAGGCCTTTGCCAAAGCATTTTGGAGAATGGATAGGCTTTTACGTCTTGGAAGGAAAGAAGTATCCAGGGTTCAGTGGAGTGGCTGTTCTGCGGTTGCCTGTATATTGGAATGCAAAATTAAGAGCCGCTATGCCAAGAGGAATCAGAGGGGAATTGCTGGTCAGGATGGTTGGTTAAAGAGGTTTTCTTCCCAGAGGATGGCGCAAATAATTTCTGGAGAACTACATGTTGCAAACACTGGTATGTACGTTGAATAATGCCGGGTTACAACCTTAACATTTTTTATTCCTGGCAGCAGAGGCTCTTATGCTTCCAAAATTATTTTGTGACTTCTTAATGCCTAGAAATTCCATCGACCAATTTAAGAAATGACCAATACCCAGTTTAAATGCAGATTGCAGGCACACAATTAATCACAGTTATTTATCAAAAAGGCACATCTACGAATTAATGTACTCAAAACATTAAATTTCCTAAGTGGGTAGCAATACAGCTATTGATAGAGGCAAAGCAAATATATTTGTTTGGACCTGAATGAAACAAAAAACATTTCCCACAATTCTCTTTTTCAAGAGAATGGAAAGTTCTTCGAATACTGTTAGTATAATTGTTCATTTGGTCCATCAGTAGTTACTCTGATAATTAATACACTTCCAATAGGCCACGCTTGTGCTTCCTGGCCAAGCAGCATCAGCTTCACCTTATGGAAAAGAATAGTTCGTGCCTCAATTTTATGGGTATATATTCTCGAATACTTACCGTACTCTTTAATTTTTTTTCAATTTTTAGTCATAGCAAAATATTTTACTTATTTATTTTTAGAGAGCGGGGAAGGGAGAAAGTGATGGAGAGAAACACTGATGTGTGAGAGAAACATCAAATGTCTGCCTCTCACATGCCCCCACCTAGGGACCTGGCCCACAACCCAGGCATGTGGCCTGACTGGGAATGGAATCAGCAACCTCTCTGTGCACAGGCCGGTGCTCAACCCACTGAGACACACCAACCAGGGCTTCATATGAATTTTAAGATCAGCTTGTCGGTTTCTCAAAAAATATCTAGGATATTTTGGTTTCTACCAAAAAAAAGCATTGTGTTGATTCTGCAGACCAATTCAAGTACTGTGATCTTAACAAAATATACAGGGTCGGGCGCAAATAATGTCCCTTTCATATTACAAAATTATAAGCATGTAATTCTATAACAAAATGTCATACTCAAGTACACCATATGACATTTTAGGTGAAATTTTCAAATTGAAACTATAAATATTACACTCATATTATTACTCTACCAACTACACATAAGCAGGTATTACTTCTGCTGGACCCTGTGTGTTACACATAATATATATTCTTGTTGTCGAAGCATTTAAAGTAAGTTTAAATAGGCCAAATTGACATATTTACCCATGTGGTTACCATTCCTGGTGTTCTTTATTCCTTTTTGTAGATCTATATTTGTCTGATTATTTTCCTTCTGCTTTAAAAACATCTTTTAATAGTTTTTGTAATACAGTATGTGTCTTCTGGTGCTGAATCTTAAGACTATTCACACTATTTTCTTTCAAATTTGGTATAGAATTCTAGATTGACAGATTCTTCCTTCCTCCTTTCCTTCCTCCTTCCTTCCTTTTCTTTCCTTCTTGCTGTGAAGGTATTTTTTATTCTATTTTCCATATCTATGAGTTTTTTTAATCCCTTCATCCTTTCCACACAGTTCCCCAACCCCCCACCCCACTCACAGTTGTCAGTCTGATCTCTGTATTGTTGAGTCTGTTCTCATTTTGTTAATTTTGTTCATTAGATTCCACATATAAGTGAAACCATATGGAACTTGTCTCTCTCCAACTAGCTTATTTCACTTAGCATAAAAATCTCCAGGTCCCTCATCCCTGTTGTCATAAAAGGTAAAATTTCCTTTTTTTTTTTTTTAACAGCTGAGTAGTATTCCATTGGGTGAATGTGCCACAGCTTTTCTGTCCACTCATCTACAGATGGACACTTGTGCTGTTTTAAATTTCGGCTATTGTAAATAACACTGCCAACAACATAGGGGTGCCTATATGCTTTTGAATTTCTTCAGGTATATTCCCAGAAGTGGAATCGCTGATCTACATTGCATTGTTTATGGTAAGGAATCTGTCGTCTAGTATCACTGTTCCTCTCTGCCCATAATATGGTTACCTTCTTTGGATGGTTTAAATGTATCATTGGTTTTAAGCAAAACTGTACTATACCTCAAATTCCGTCCCGCCGCTCAGTTTTCTCTTATCCTTAAGGAATTTCAATGATATACTTTAAGCCAACCGAAATTATCTAAAATCTCCATAATGCTCTTTTCAGTTTTCAAAACTTTTTGGCTCTCTGCTTTGTTTTTGAATTTTTATTGCCATCTTCAAAATCATTCTTTTCTTCTGCAATGGCTAATTTTCCATTAATCACATCCACTGTATTTTTCATTGTTAACATTGTAGTTTTCATCTTTAGAAGTTTCATTTTTTAAAAATTATCTTTCACGTCTGTACTTAACTTTTTTAACATAGGGCACGCTGTTACAACTTTTAATGTTCTTGCCCACTGATCCCAACATCGGTGTCATTTCTGAGTTAGTTTCCGTTGTTTGCTTTTTTCATTTTATTGTGGGCAGCATTTTCCTGCTTACTTGCATGCCTGGTGTCCTCACTCCCTAGGTCTGCCACACAAATTAACTCAAACTTGGCCGCTCTCAACAGCAAAAATTCATTCTCTCCCAGTTCTGGAGGCCAGAAACCTAAAATTAAAGTGTTGGCAAGGCCATGCTTCCCCTGAAGCCTCTAAGGGAAAATGCTTGCTTCTTTCAGCTTGTTAGTGGCTCCAGGCACCTTGGCCTGTGGCTGCAGAACTCCAATCTCTGCCTCCATCTTTGCACAGCTTTCCACTCCTCTGCGTGGCTCTTGTCTCTGATAAGGATTCTATTGGATGATCTCAAGATTCAATTATACTTGCAAATCTAGGCTATAGGGGTTGTTAGCATGGGGAAATATTTTCTTTTTTTTTTGGACATTATTTTAAGCTTTGTTTTGGGCTGAATTTATTTCCCCAATAGTTTGATCCTCTTAGATTATACACCTTTTAAGATTTGTCGGCGTGTCCAGGATAGTGCTCAATTTTGGGCTATTTTCCTCTATTGAGGCGAGACCTTCCTAAGTTCACTACCTAATGACCCACGAATTTATATTTTCCCAGTATGACTGGTGAGAACAGACATTGTTCCCAACCCTAAGTGAACTTTGGTGATATTCTAATCCTTCTAAAATAGTTGTTTGGTTTTTTTGCGAGTGTCGAGGGGATTTTCTCATGCACACCTTGATTGATATCCTACTGAACACTGGGGGAGGCTTCTCTGCAGGGCGCTGGGATTCTCTCAGCTTTTCTCTGTGATATACTGTCCTAGGTCAACTCCAGCTCCCTTGGTGTCCTCAGACTCAGTTCAATCACCTCAACACAGATGAAAGGTAATTCCAGTCACTGGCCAGCAGCAGAAATAACCTAAAATTTTTATTTTGGGGAATCACGAGGCCTATGTTATCCTGAGTATGCATTTGCTGCTGCCTGTTAACACAATCAACTTGAGGTTTTCCAGAAAACAAATACAGACAAACCTCAGAAATGTGAGTTTGGCTCCAAATCACTGCAATAAAGCAAGTCATAATCTTTTTGCTGGGGGAGGGTTTTGGTGAAAAATGCAGAGTATATGAAGCACAATGAAGACCCATAGAAGAAGGTATGCTTGTATGTGAAGGTTGGTGGTTCCTAATGGTAGTTCCCTTTTTCTTTTTTTTTTGGTTATTTGCGTGGTGGTATGGGGCGTGTTTTAGTTCATTGTTTTCAGTGAGGGTATGATTCTTTAAGGTCCAAGCTGTGTTGGGAAGAACCATTAGTTTTCCCCACCTTGGACAGGCCCTGTTTTGCCTCCTGTTCTACAACCTTGTGAAAATTAAAAGCTCATTTATTCAGCCCTTATCTTTTGACCTGAGAACTCTTTCTTAATAGCTCATCCATGCACCTGACCTAAAAGTATAGGCAGATCATCCAGGGCATTTCTGGTACTCAGTGGGAAGTCAATTGGAGACCCAGACTGCCACATTACTGCTCCTTTGTAGTACTTGTTTTAGTGTATCTGCTATTCCAATATTTATTGTCTAGACTACTTATTCTTAATCATTTCTTCTGAGATCCCCCAAACTACTTTTGTTCCCTAGCATCTAGTTTTCCATCCCATGAACCCACTCGAGATCCAAAGAGGAAGCAGGGCTTTACCCACTTCTTTTCTATTATTCCCAATTCCTTAATTTTGGCCAGCTCAAGTCCCCTTCCTTCTCTTCTCCAGGTTACCGAGAGACTCCTTTTATCTAATCCTCACAACCTTTGAGGTAAGGATAACCACGTTTTAATAAAGGAGATGACTGAGAATCACCGAAGTATTAAATAAGGTTACATCATTAAATAATGAACGATGAGTTGATGTCCTTTAGACTAACCGTTACATCAAATAAGCATCACCAGCCGCCTTGTTTTTAGGGTTTATCTTCCTTCTTCTGTTGCCTTCACCTTCATTCATGATCGATGCTGTATTTGCGGATCTCATTGAATTTTTTTTTGTCGTTTTCCTATCAAGATTTATTTTGCTTACTCATGGTAGTCTTAGTTGCTACTAAAATCATTTCCAGCCCTACCCTTTCCCCTAAAAATCTAATTCAACTCCAGAATCATCTTATTTTATGCAGGAAACTGTATTCTTAAAATTTAACACTGACCTTTCACATACTTTACCATCCCCACTTTCCCTTCATTGGTGGTTGGTAGTGGACTCACATACATACAAACCTGATTCTGCGAAGACATTCGACAAATATTTGACAGCTGGGTTGACTGGTGCGTGAAGTATCATTAGGCTCCAGATGTACGATCATGAAATACATCGGTGAGGCTGTTGTGTTCAGTAGGAAGCCTGGTGTCCATGTACACAAATTCAGCCTCTTTTTGCCAAAACTACAGCCCTGTAGTTTGTGTGAAGATAGTTCCTACAGTTCCTAACTGGTGTGAAGATAACTGGAAAGGTTGTTTCCCTAACATGTTTTATTTACATGCATTCTTGTTATGTTTCCATTTTAGGTATATTTCATGTGCATTTAAATTTCCTTAATGTTAACTTTAAATTACTTTCTTTCCTGTTAACTTTACTTTTTCTTTCCTGAATAACTACCTCATTTCCCAAGTTACTCTTCCCTACTCCCTTAACCCATAATTCTATTTCATAATTTTACTTTTTTATATAAATGGGTCTGATATAAAATAGTTTTGTCTCAATCTTTTTTGAATAGGCTCTTTGCCTGCTTTTCCCCTTCAGGGAAACTTTATCAAGTGTCTACTTATGTACCTTCTTAAATCCTCACAATAACCTTGACAAAAAACGGCAGGTGGAAAATCAATTATTCAGGTACATAAAGTGACTTAGGTTAAGGTCACAGGGATGCAAAGTTGGGACTCAAGTTCAAATGTGTCAGGCTCTCCAGTCTGTCCTCTCCCCATGCTTCTTCTTCTAAACAAGCCATCTTCTTGTTCCAGGGCACCCACACATCCTGGCTAGGTGTTTCCTTTTCTTACTACTATATAAAACCTTTCTTCTTTTTTGTAGTTCTTTCTTAAAAAAAATCTTGATCTTGTCCATTCAGATGCAGAATTCCCCTTGGTATTCCAAGGTCCCTCTGAGTTCACAGGAATACTCTTTTCGCCAGTTGGAAATAGCCCAGCAATTACAGGAGGCAGTTACATCGTTGCCCTCTACATAAGGAACACTTTGCTGGACTATATATGACATCTTAAAAAGACTCAAGTACCATCTCAGTTTCTCTTAATGCCTGCATGATTAATGTCCCTAACATGTTGCTCTTCCAGTAGCCATTCCATTTTTGTTCTGGTAGCATTTTCTTAAGAGCACACTTTCTCCAGCTAATGATAACTTTATGTCTATGAATTTGAATTATTTATGCTTAGGTTCGTTAGAATTTCTGTGTGGGGGATCATCACAGTTCATTTGCTAATTCTCGTATTCTCTGAACAGATGTTACAGGGACCCAACTTTAAAGCCCATCTGTCCTCCCTTTTAGTCATGACTTGCTCCTCTCTTCCTTCAGTTCTGCAGACATATGGACATATAGTTCTGTTTTTAAATCTTCTTCATCTTCCATCTTCTTGGGGCTTTTTGTTCATTAGTTTATCCTAACTTCTAGCTTAACAGTCAACCCCTTTCAAACACTCCATTTGCAGTTGACAGCATATGCAACCCTAGGTGGTCCAGGAAATAAAATGATTGACTTTAGCACATCCAATTTTTCTTACCTGTTCCATTAACACTCTTCCTGGCCCTCAGTTGCACTTATCCCTCTACTTCCTGGGCTATGCTTCAATAGTTGAGAAGTACCGGGCACCTGTCCTTCACTTTTACCTTCTCTTCATGTGCCATTCACACCGGTAAGAATGTGAGTTATTTGGAAAGCACTAGCTTCCCTTTTATCAGGATAATTTGTCAAAGAAATTAAGTAACTCACCTAAAGTCAATGGCAGAGCAAAAACTGCAACCATGATTTAGTGTCCCTTCTTCTAGAAAATAGTAACGAAAGAGGAAAATCAGCCAAAATGGCATTTCCTACTCTCCAGCAAATTAAAAAAAAAAAAAAAAAAAAGGCAAACAGTGCATATGGCTATGTATATCAAGCTCTCTGCAGAGGCAACTAAAATCAAAATACCAGTTTACTACCCTTCCAGTGTTAAATACATAATTGTATCAAATTCTCTTCAGAGTAGAAAAATAAAGCCTTTTCTTTTTCTCGCATGGGCTTTGAACTATGACATCAGTGAACATTTAGGAACTCAGAAGATCTGACTATTCTGGGCCAAAATTTGTCTCATTTTTCAGAGCTATGGTTGCACTACTTTCATGTGTGTATACACATAAAGAGATTTAAATTTAACTTAAAAGAGGCACTATGCCTTCTTTACAGAACAATTCATTTTACAGAGTTGGCATGTACAATTCAGTTTACAAAGTTGTCATTTTCTGTTGCTGGTACAGCAATAATTTACAACTAGCTAAAGTCAAGAATTATTAAAAAAACGATTTTATTTATTTAGAGGGGAAGGGACAAAGAAAGGGAGAGAAACACCCCCCAATACTGGGGACCGGACCCACCCTGGCAATCAAACTGGCGACACTTTTCTTCAGAGGCCAGAGCTCAATCCACTGAGCCACACTAGCCAGCCGACAAATTACTTTACTGATTTACCCTTTGCAAAGTGTTCAGTATATTAATCAGCAGAAAAGACATGTGAATACAAATTAATAAACCCCACTACGAAGAAGAGGTCATGTAATTTTTAGGATTGTCATTTATACAGTTCATAGATCTAAAACATTTTCCACGTGCATCTTCAACTTTTGGTCCAATTCATTAACTCAAATACCTTAACAATTCCCATTATGTACAAGAACCAACAGGCTCAGTCTATGCCTGTTACTAATCCCTCACTAACCTATGCTTTCTGTCCCCTATACTAGACTGCAGACCTCCATCTTCTGAAATTTAAATTCCTTCACCTTAAAACCCAGGGTTTTAGCCCTGGCTGGTGTGGTTCAGTGGCTTGAGTGCCAGTCTGCAAACCAAAGGGTTGCCGGGCTGCAGGCCAAGTGCCCAGTGCGGGGCATGTGAGAGGCAATCACATGTTCATGTTTCTCTCTCTAAAAATAAAAAAAAATCTTAAAAAAAAAAAAGCAGATTTAGACTTGAACCTCTGCAACAACAAACTTCTGATTTTGGGTATAACACCATGTTCGAACCAGAATATGCTATACTTCTTATTATTCCAGGAAGTCATTCTCAAAGGTATTATAATATTCAACCATCATTCACCCCACCTCGGAGTAATTTAAATACTCCTTTATAAATGATTCTGTATCAAGTATGAACTATGCTTGAATATACAATTATGTTCTAAAAAATTGTGAAAAATTAATTTTCCTAACAAACCCTTTTTATAAACCAAAGAAAGTACTGGTAAAACCATCCCTCAATCTGTTCAGAGCATTGTTTATTTTCTTAAGATTTCAATGAAGCACACATAACAGGTTCATCCGAAACATTAACTATAATCAACTTTTATGATTTCAGTTTTCAATCAAAGGTTTAATTTCATGTTGGCTAACTATTAACCATTTAATACATTAATAATACATAGTTTTTTCTTCACAGGGGTGACTTGATTTCTTTTTAGCCATACACATCAGGAACCTCGCAAGACTGACATTAACAGCGGTATTTTAATTTTTTCATCACCCATACATGTTTAGTTTTTAATTTTTACCAGTTATAAAATCACCAAATTTCACTTAAAAAAATTCAAGGTTTATGATTTTAAATGAAAAGATATTTACTTAAACATTAAAAAATGTCTGCTCTATGGAATATATGTTGGTTATAAAAAAGTTAAACTCTTGGCTCTACAAAATAAGTAACATTTGGAAGTGGTTTCATAAACAAATTTGACTTTTCAGTATCTATAATTTGTTATTTTAATATTAAATGCAGTACTTTAAACACTAAATTGCTTTAAAATAAGGAATAAACTGGCTTCCCAGCCTGAATTACTATCTATTATCCAATTAATGATATCGATATTACACATACTTGTTTATGCAATGAAACACAGAATAAAGTTAGCAGCATACTTTGATACAACTGGTTATTAAATCTCTAGGATCAATTTTTTCTAATAATCTTCTAGGTAATGTGCAAGCAGTCTTATGCAGAAATGGGCAAGGGTTTCGCCTAACCAAAGAACACACTATGCGAAACACAGACGAAGAAAGAAGAGCACTTGAGAATGGAGCGATAATTAGTTCAAATGAACCATATGGGCTCCTAGAAGGGCAAATAAAAACTACAAGAGGACTTGGATTTCATGGAAACCCCAAACTGAAAAAGTTCATTATTCCAGCACCTCAGACTATTTCTGTCGCTATAGATAATTTATGTCAATTCCTTATTGTAGCTACTAATGGACTCTGGGAAGTTCTGGATAACAAGGAAGTCACCGCACTGGCAATAACAATGTTTCAAGCGTATAAAGAAACACACCATTCCATCATCCAAAACAAATCTTCACCATCCAAAGTTCCTCTGTTTTCCCCAATCAATAAACCAAGCATTTCTAAATCAGACAGTGATATCCACGTATTGTTTCAACGTAAATCTGAAGAATGTGTGTCAAGTAAAAATTCCGAAGAACATATGTCTGATTCAAAATATTCTCAATTTTTTACTTGTGCTCCTAGAAATGCACAAATTCTACCAGAAATGACTAATCGTGATCCTTGCAGTGAGGAAGAAACTGACAGACATGTAGACAGTGTGCCAAAAGATTCAAGTGAAAAAGAAAAAATAAGCACTGGTAGTTTCTATGAAGATGCAGCTGAGTATATCAGCCATGAACTTGTAAATGCTGCTTTAATGGCTGGCTCCAGAGACAACATTACAGTTATGGTCATACTTCTCAGTGGAAGTGAGTATCAGTTTCTGAAGATAAAAGATAAAAGTTCTGATTATCCAGAATACAAAAATATAAAGACAATTTCTTCAATGAACCAGATATTAGGATAATAATACATCAATACCACACAAATCATTTTTAAGAATGTGGTTACGAAAATATAAAAGAAGATTTTAAGTTATACAATACCATTTATATATGTTTACTGTTCCATGCCAAAAAAGAGAGAAAAACCAATACTTGCTTTTTATACCACTTTATTCCAACCTAGGCACCTCAATATAAAACTAAACACTGGCGAACCGTTTTCCTTACTAATTCTGAATTACTGTAAATATACAAGTTCTGCTAGCAGTTCAACACTTAAATAGATTAAATCATCTCTGACACATGGTAGATTTCATATAATGAAAATACCAAAAACAATTAGTGCAATATACCAAACTGATCCAGATAAAATGAACTTTGGAAAACAAGGCTGCAAGATTGTTACTAACATATTGCAATACTTATGCTACAAATTACTGGTACATTGTTTATCATGGCTCTAGCCATGTAGGAACTGAAGCCCCTTCCACTGAAAGGGGGTGAGAAGGGAAAAATTAGCTGTTTTAGTAACTGTACATTTTGTATACTTTTAAGCAATTCTTAAATATTACAGAAAAGCAGTAAACAGATGGAGACTACAATGCAGTACCCTATTTACAGTACAGCTTGAATTTAAAATAATCAAGTTTGAATGTACATAATTGTTAGTGCATTGACTATATCATGTCCAAAGGGAACAGAAGCCCCTTCCATGCCCCAAACAACTAAACCTATATAATGGCCCGCAGTGATTAAACAGAAATTACAGACACCTGGTTTGTTCCACTTTTGTTGAAGAGCTCACATGTTTGAAGGAAACACTACCCATTAAAATGCATTTATCAGTTTTCATATTCCTAAAACAAGATGGGGTTAACATTTGATTTTTTTACACCCCACTTAAAATAACAGGACTGTCTACAATTTCAATGCCACTAATGCTCATTTCTTACCCTGTCCTGAAGATGTGGAATTGTTTTCTTGTGGCTAATTTTCTAAAATGTGGAATGTACACTTTAAATACGGATACTATGAGAAATTACCAGTTGCCTGTATACCATAGCTAAGCATAAATATCTTTAGAACCTTCTTCTAAAAAAGAATGTTTCTGAAAAGCTCAAATTAAATTTAAAATCTTTTTCATAGGTCTGGCTGGGTAACTGTAGGTTCAGATAGTCGTTTGTCTATATATATCCCCGGTGATGAGAAATGATTACCCCTAACCTTCCAAGGAAACAAGTGTACACACAGCTCTCATTTCCCCCTTCTGCTGCTAAAACATTAGTCAGAGGGTCACATGCATGTTATTAAAAATTAAGTTCAAAACACTTAAAATAATTCTGTATTAGAAACTTGACTCTATTATAAGTCTCTTCTTTTGGAAGTCATACTGAGCTTGTTAAATGCTCCAATTCCACCGTTAATATTTAAGAAGCAGAAGAATATTCCAGCTGGTTCAAACTGGAGGTTTAGTTACTACAACACTGACTCCTGGTTGGCTGCGTGGGTTCAGTAAGGTCTACTCCTCTTCCCCGGGCAGAATTTGCTCCTGGATTCTGTGGTTCATTCTTTGGCAACTTCTTAGCTAAGAGATTAAATTATTAAAATAAACATAATTAGAATATTCATACTAGAATTACTTTCATCTGCTTATTTATAATCTTCCTTTACAGTTAGGTTATCCCAAAATTATTACATAACCACGTCCATTATAAAAAAAAAAAAAGAAAAAGAGAAAGAAAGATACCATTGATTAGATGGTTACCTCTTGTACGCACCCAGACCTAACCCAGGACCAAATCCCCAACCCAGGCATGTGCCTGGGACCTTTTGGTTTGCGGGATGATGCCCTACCAATGGAACCGCACTGGTCAAGGGCACCACATGTTCATTCTTTCTGTTCAAATCTTTACTGGGTATCTATTAAACATCAAAACATCGGTCCCTGGCCTTGGGGAGCTTAGTGAGTTGATGGAAGGGTAAATGGGGACCAGTTGCTGACACAAAACTAAAACTTAACCTGACTAGAGCTATATTAAATTCTTTACATAGATTCACTTAGTAATACCAGAAGAGTTATACTTGATTTCATAATCATTATTTTTAAAAACCCTAATTATTTAATAAATGTGTTGGTAACGGCAGCTCAACTTGTATCATTGCTTTTTGGACTGCCACAAACACTTTTTGGAACAAGTCAGGATATAAACGAATACCATTACCATCACCCCAGCAGAAACTGTTCTCTACTGTGCTACCTAATTATTCTCCAAAATTATGACAGGTCACATCTCTTATTTTCTTTCTGGCTTATAGATTTTGTCCTTCAAATACCAACCACTTTCCTCTTTCGTGGCTGATTAAGAACACTAGGCTGATTCATCAGTAACTCTAACTAGTGAGACTATTCCTCAGGCTCCTTCTCAAAAAAAAGAAAAAAAAACAACAAAAAAAACGATTTCCCAATGTTGAGTCAGATGAGCATGGCCTGCCCCTCAACCAGCATTTAATGGCATTTACTGTAATAAGAGCAGGATAACATGCTGCTCTCTGGGGCATGGCTCCTACTGATCAGATGTCACCTGCTTAGAATCTGAGGATCCTTGATGTGCTGGATTCATTCAATGTTAAACATCTCTAAGAGTACAGATTGTTAAGGGTGGCTAGACACACTGGTCTCTATCACTTTGGGGGCAGACTACATACTATAGTAAGACTCTAACTTAACCTCAGCCTTGGCTCAATTTACACAAAAGTTAAACATGCTCTACTTCAAAATCTGAATGCCTAGTTATGTTCTGGATTTCTATCCTTTATTTGTAGTAACCATCTTTAGAATTCTAGATGCTGGAATGACCAATGATCTGGGAGCCAAGAGCAATGTGGTCTGGGAAGAAAAGCCGTTACCTTGGGCCACTTCTCTAGGAACTGCTCTGGAGATGGTGTTATAAATGGTAATACAATGGTACATTTCCAGTCAACTGTATTCACAAACAAAGCCTTGTAGGATAAACAGTAGACTAGTACTATAAACTTTAATACAGTTAATACCAAGTTAGGTTTAGGACTGAGTGATCATTTCTCACTTTAACATGCTTCTCCAAGGGCTACCTGTAATTAGATATGAGTGAAATCAGGAAGCTGATGGAAATAAACTGCAATGAAGAACTTTTAGCTTCTACCGGTTATTTTTTACTGTGATGATAAACTAAAAACACATTTTGGGGATCTCAAAGGAAGTTGTTTCCTGTCTCATATCTTATTGTTACCAAAGTAAAACTGGTACTGTTTTGTATATGGGTAACTGCAGGTTATCAATTTGTCCCTAAATTGGTAACTGTGAGAAACTAAAAATCCTAGATCGAGTTCATGAAGATGTGCAAGAAAAGAAGCCTTTCAAAACCTTGTACAATTAAAAGCAGACAATAAATTATTGTAGACTCTCCCACGAAGTATTTATTTCTCCCCTTTTTGGAAGCCATCAAAAGTAAAAATGTGAGTGCACTGTGTGATTTATTTGTTATATTCTAATAAAAGAAATGGCATTTCCATTCTCTCAAGGAAAGTAATGTTCTAATTTCAGAAAAATAATTGGAAACTGTAGTATATAGGCTACTTTGACTGGAAAAATAACCATCCTAGCACACCTGAATAAAAAATACAAATTAAATACTACCAGAAAGCTTTAAAGTTCAGCTCAACTTGAAGGACCGATCATGTCGTTCCCTGTAAAACTTTCAGGTGCAGTTCTGGGTGTCACCCATCCCCTCTATAAAAACAGCACTGCCAAACAATGCTTCACAACTGTGCTAGCACTTTTCCCTAATAACTGCAAGCCTGAGTTTCTCAGGAAAATATTTTACACAATAAACAGGCAAGTTTTTTCCCTAAATGAGCCATCATTCAACTCTTTCATCTAATGAAAGATATTATGACAGTACTTGCAGCTTTTAATGAGGTTTCTTTAGCCCCTGAATCAGCTCTAAATTGGTCAATGTGTATGACTTCAATATAAAAAAGTATTCCTTATTTGAGGGCAGGAATGTGGACACCCAGTTAATAATCACTACTGTGTAATAAAAAATGTCATGGTATAAGAAGAGTGCTTGCACATGAATAGCGTGGAGGCAGAAAACTGTGAGAGCCACCTAAGTAGACCCTTCTCATAGAATATGCACCTTGAAACTGATGGAAGGGTCACTAGAAATACTTTTATTTTTGTTATAGACAAAAGGAAACTTCTTTATTACTATTCCAACTTCATTACCTACATTCAACAACTGTGGACTAGGAGTCATCATCAGTTAAAAGAATGTTGAAGGTAAGAGGTCTGCACAGGATCAAGGATCCAATGACCACTGAGCTCACACAAAGCAAAAATGTTTTGCCTTCCCTTTCCCTCTGTGCTTCATGCTTTGAAACTTTCTAATGCAATATTTGCATTAAAATAATTTATACATCTGTATATTTATACATCAATGACCTAAAAAAACTTGAAAAACAAAATTAGTGCTCTGGTTCAGGGCACAAGAGAGATGAAAACTGTTATTGATCAGTAAGAAAAATCTCATTATGCCTACATGCTGCACTGAAAAATATGGCTGAGTATATTACCTTCTATATAAAAAAGTATAACCTAATAGAAAAAAAACACATTTATTAAAATTTCTCAGTGAAATCCTTAGGAAATTCAGCTCGGAATTCAGGCTTCCAACTCAGAAGAAACTAAATTGCAAGTATTATAACCTAATAGGTAATAATCAAATTTAACACAATTACTAACAAAGTAATGAATGCTTAGTCAAATGAATATAAAATAGCTGTAATCATTAAAAAAAATCCAATAATTTTTTAAAAAGTCAAACTAAAAATGCCCTAGTGTATAACTTGTTTTGCCTATATATACAGTTTGGAATAAAAGGTAATCTTACCTATTGCCATGAATATTTCATTTACATTCATTGATGTTTTAGCTGATGTCTCCATGAATAATAAACTGTTGTCATCTGCATAAGACTGTGCTTCCTGTTTACAGAATAAAAATAGTAAGATATATCTTTTATATATACTACACCTGCATTATTTTTGTTATTAAAAGAAGAGGCCTCCTTATTACTATTCCAATTAATGACCTATAACCAATAATCAAGATAAAACAAAGGTCAGAGTATTGTATAATTTTCTTTTTGCCTTACTTCTTACACTATCCCAGCCTGATTAACCTGGTCTCATCTTAAATCTGCTTTCCAGAGAAGAAAAAATTTAAGCTATTCTAAATATAAAAATTTTGATCTCAATGGAAAACTGTATTTACAGTATTTGCAAAGAAGTCAAAGGGAAACCATGGCTTCAATCACTAAATGATACATACTCATATAAATTCTAAATGACTTGTATAAGGAACATTTTAATTTTGAATATGAATCATTCCATTGAAAATCGTGTTACTACTCTAATTTTTGTCATGCTTTACAGTTTATATAGATTACTGCCTTTGATGCGCACAGCTGTTGTTGTGAAGAGCAACTAATTACCTTTCCCATCTGACAAACAATGAGGTATGAGGTTCCTTTGAACTCTGATGTGACAGTGCCACTTTTGACTACAGGTGCTCTATTTACTACTCTATGCTAGGGAGGTAACTGTCTTAGAAACAGTAATAGAAGATACTGTATCTCATATAGTTGTCACCAGCATCAAATGAACTGTGTGTGTTCAACTTTCTACCTAATGGGTGTGACAACCATTTCTTCCCTTTATCTAGCCATCATCAAAAAATAAAAAAATAAAAAAAATCCTATCACTGATACTATACATATAATGGCCACAATCAAATTCCTCTGGTAGAAAAGTTAAAGAACAAAAAACTAGAGATTTTTAAATGTCTAATTAAAGACATTTGCTTTATTTCTTACCTATTGATTTGAGAGAGAAGAAGAGGGGGAGAGAAACATCAACTTGTTGTTCCACTTATTTATGCATTCACTGGTGCCTGGGGATGACCCCATCCAACTAAGCCACTAGGGTGTTTGCTTTATTTTAAATTACTGTACTTATTTTATGCCAGGGAACATTCCTAGTTAGCTATATTAGATAACATGCAAAGTGGGCTTTCAGAACACTTCTGAAGGCCCTTTTAAGAACAACCACATGAGTGTAGGTTTATGTGTACCACAAATGTGTAAGGTATATATGGGTATGCATATGCATGTTGATAAATTTGTTAAATAAACAGAAAAAGGATGAGAAGGAAGGGTAGAAGACATTTGGCTTTTATTTATTTCTGCACTAATTGTAAATAATAGTTTATTTCATAATTATTTAGGTAAACAAAATCTGAATTTTTATATACTACAATTATGTAAAGATACTTAAATATTCAGGTTTATCATGACAAGCATTTTATTACATATAGTACATCACATTTGTTTAATACATTTTATATTCTCTTACTGGCATGGTTTTGAACTAATAACTATAATTCAAGTGTAGATACAGAAAAAAAATTACAATAAATGTGTGCATTCAAATAAAAGTTAAATTCAACATACCTGGAAATCAACAGCTCTTTTATTTGCAAGGTCAGCCTTGTTTCCAGATAAAGCTATTACAATGTTAGGACTGGCTTGCCTCTGAAGTTCTTTAACCCAATTTTTGGCTCTGGCAAAGGATTCCTGGGAAACAAATAAACAGCCATTTTGAGGCACAAATTTAAAAAAATGGCTAGGGAAAGTCTTTGTGAGATAAGGCTTTAAAGACTGTCCAAAGTCACTCTTGAAAAGAAATTCTTAGGATAATGTATTATTAAAGATACTTTCATCTCATTTTTTGTCAAATCAGCTTTTCAAATTCAAAAGCTTTTGGCAGAAAATGTCCTGCTTGCCTATCAAAAAAAAAAAAAAAAGATTTTCAAAGATCTTTTCTCTAATCAAAACTCTGAATATCAAAAATGGATATTCAAACCAGTTTCATTATATCAGCATTTTTACTTACCTCATTTGTGATATCATATACAACTATGGCTGCTTGTGCTCCTCTGTAGTACATTGGTGCTAGGCTATGGTACCGCTCTTGACCAGCTGTATCCCATATTTCAAACTTTACTGTTGTGTCATCAAGACACACAGTTTGGGTTAGAAAAGCAGCTGAAAAGAAAATATGTACAGTAAATTTATCATTTCCCCCCTAATATTTTCATAATACAGAAAATACCTGGAAACCTGATGTATTATTGCATAAACACATTTAACAGTGGCTTTAAATACTCGTAAGATCTGCTTCAAAGATAAATATACATGCTTTTACATTTATTAAGATCATAAATAAATATATATGACCTTTATAATAAAAGTATTTTGAAAGTTTCTCCTACATTCTTAAAAGTTTTTGTAATAAATAAGCTTGATAGTTTCTTAACTTGTCTTTAAAGTAAAATTGTAAAACAATTTAAGAAGTATATTAAAATTCTTGAAAAATGGGGGAAAAATCAGCACACTTATAACTATCACCTACATTGCCAAACTACGCCCCCTTGCTCCATACTCTTGATTTTTACTGTCATACTCTGGGGTTTCGGTCCCAGTCTATTACCACCAAATCAATGTATTTTGTTATTATTCTTTCAAAACACTTACACTTTTAATTTTTCTATTCACAATCTAGACGTAATTTTCTAAATGCAGATTCCATATTAACTCTTTCACTGCCTACTATAGGACTTTTTAGATTTGTACCTTTTCATCTCCTATCAGATTTTAACAATAAGAAAAAACATGATTTTATAATGATATCTTTGCTTTTAAAATTGAGAGGTCGCTGTCAAATTCTGCAAAGTATTACTTTATCACTTTCTGAATTGCTTCATAAGAACAACATGAAGTAAATATTTATCACAAATAATTATCTTGGATCTATGATTAATTAACACGAGGAAAGACACTACAATGGACTCTTATGAAAACATACACAGATTTTTATAAAAGGTAGGTTATAATCAAGTGAATTAACTTTAAAATACCACATTAGAGTAAATGTCTAACTGCAGCTAGCTGCACTAAAGAGAGTTATGAACAAGAGCTACATACAGCCATCTTTAGCAGCACACTGGTCAACAGTAACCATACCTTATAGTTCCTTCCTTCGTTTACTTTGGTAGTTAAACCCTCAGCTCTATCATTCATGTTCAACTAGTATGCTCCTCACTTTTACTTTCAGCTAAAGGTGTGGTCTTCAACTCCTCCCAAATTGGCATAGAATTGTTATTAATTTTACAAACATTATAATTAGAATTGTAGCTTAAGCTACAATTTTCTGTGAATTCTCACAAGAATAGTCATATTTAAAATATATTCGAATTCAAACTTCTTTTCCCCTAAAACATTAGCAGTAATACTCATTTTCTGAAATCCTGTATTTATGCCCTGGCTGGTGAGGCTCAGCGGAATGAGTGGCAGCCTGTGAACCAAAGGGTCGCAGGTTGGATTCCCAGTCAGGGCACATGCCTGGGTTGCAGGCCAGGTCCCCAGTAGGGGGCGTGTGAGAGGCAACCACATACTGATGTCTCCCTCCTTCTCTTTTTCCTTCCCTTCCTCAGTCTCTAATAAATAAATAAAATCTTTAAAAATAAAAAGCAAATAAAATCCTGTATTTATGATAAAAGATATCAAGAAAGTACTATGTTACCTTTTTTTTTCACTTTCATGAATGGTTCTCCCATAGAATCAAAAATATTTTTAAACACTTAAAATATACCCTCCAAGACAACACCTTTTCAATAAAAGGGGGTAAAAGATATGGACTACAAAATGTTTTTCTTAAGTAAATTTTGATGCACACTAATAAAAAATTAGGTTATAATTTGCAATTCAGACCCTGTTTTCTCTTTTCAATAACCACAAAGTACACTGGTAGTAAAACCATTCACCTACACTTTCATAAGTCAACTCTAGGCTCAGGGAAATAACTATTATTTAATGCTGCCTTAAAGCAAACATAATCTGATTCTCAAACCAGTTAAACACATCACAAAAGGCTACCAATCTTTTTTATCGATGCATGTACAAAAGCAAATAAAATATAGGCAAAGAAACAGCAACAAATACAGTAAAAACAAACAAAAACCCCACAACCCATGATCAAATAGAAATTCTTTCAGAAATACAAAGCTATTACACCAGTAGGCTAAAAAAACCCAAAAAAACAACAACAAAAAAACCCAAACTGTAAAACTGTGTATTATTTAAATATATTAAAAAGGGTGTTAGAGTCAACATATGTTCCTAACATACATATAAAACTTTTTCCTTAAAATGTATCAAGTGTCCACTTCATCCTTAAGCCTGAAATCAGCATTGTGATTAATAGCAAAGCTCTTTGGCAGTACCGCTAAATCTGGAAACCAAACAAGAAAGTACATCATCACAATTATTAACATTATCTCGGATATCCATATAATAATAAAAGTAAAAAATATGGGAAAGAGACATTTGGAAGAGACAAGACTGACATGAAAATCCAAAGGCAGCAGATAATAACCAGTTGTTTAAATTGACTAGAACAGATCAAAGTCAACAGTCTTACCATACACTGACAATGACCAGGTTTTCAGTATCATGCTGGGAGAAGAATGGATCTCAATCATATTAACAAAGAATAAGAACAATCAATTAACTCAATTCCTCTTAGAAACCATTCTTCAGCTCACACTATTTAATAGCTCCTACCTCTGTGCTCCCAGACTGCCCTGTGAAACAATGTTTCACACTTTTTATAATATTTTTAAAAAGATTATAGTTATTATCTTTTTCTTTTCTTAAGACTGGAAGTTCCTTGAGAAATTACTATTAGTTATTCTTCTCAACATCTAATATAAATCCCAGTTCATATAAATGTTCAAAATGTTTGCTAAAAGTTGTTCATACAAGGTATGTGGAACTATTTCTGGGCTAGTTCAGTTAAAATTTGCAATAGACAGTTCCCAAATGGGAAAAAAATAGACATCTCAAAAGGCCTATACTCAAGCTACCATATTTTGCCATGCATATAATGCATACCTGTTGGCCCAAATTTTTGAGGAAAACATAAGGGTGCACCTTATATATAGGAGCACATCATACATGTCTGAGTATGGTATTATATACCTCACACAATCTCAAACAAAATACCATCAAACTCTTTTTAACTTGGTTACACTATACTGTTGCTCATGTGGTATGATGGCAGTGTAACTTTGGGAGAGAAAAAGACCAGTGTCAGAGGCCAAGGAAGTAAGATTTAGGATACATCAAAAAATATTACATCAATTAGTCCTGATCTGGTGGCTCAGTTGGTTGGAGCATCAACTGATGCTGGGTTCGATCTGCAGTTGGGGCCAGTATGAAAGAACAGATCCATGTTTCTCTCCTCCCTCCCCCCAACTCCAAAGTCAATAAACAACCTTGGGTGAGGATTTAAAAGAAAAATTAAAATGTTGTAGTGCCACAAGAACATACATTATGGGAATAGAATAACCCAGTATTATAATAAACATATACTGCAAGACCATCATTATTCCCCAAAGTTCACAAGTTTTCAAATATTACTAAAGCATTTAACTTCCCCATAAAATGCAGCGATGTACAGCTGACATCTTCAAATCCTTAGTGCTTCTAAAAATATATTACCAGGCGTTTACAAAGTTATAAAAAAAATAAATTCTGGCACTCAAAATATAACTACATCAATACTGTAGCAACATTAACCAACCACAAACTTACCTGAATCTGCAAAAACACTTTAATATATCCAAAACGTCTATTTTCTGGCTAAGAACCATCACTTTCTTAGACCTCTTCATTTTCTCTTCACTTCCATCACCAGCACTAGCAGTTGGTTTTCTTTTCGGGCCCATATTTCACAAAGAAACAGCTTTTATCACTTCGAGAGTTACTGTGTACGCGACGACAAGTAGAGAAAAACAAAGCTGCGTTGAGATGCGGGTGCTGGCCTGTCTAGTAGGCTCCCTCATTGAGCTACACGATCAGTTCCTACCTGCAAGCCTAGCAGCAAGTACCTAACAGTGCAGTCTCAGCAAAAGTACAAATTACTGAATCACAGACCTTGGGGTCATCTGACAATACCCCAAAGTGTAAATGTTAAATCTCCAAATACCAAAGGCCCAGAATGTGTTAAGACCTTAATAAATAGTAAGCAAGGAGGAGACACTGCAAAAACAGTAGGCAGGGGAAAGTCTATGCAAATCAATAGCATTAGCCAAAGGCCAAGAACTAAGAAAAAAAGTTTAACGACTAACTAAAAACCATGTATTATGACTATGAGGTTTAAGTACACAAAAATTTGAGACTAGATTTGCAAAATATGTATTATACACCCATAGCACAGGACAGAATATATTCAGGAAAGTCTCTACAATGAATGTTAACAGATTAGTTTTAATGTGTGGGAAGCTCATTTAAATCTTACAAAAAATTCAAAAAGCATCAAGGATAAATTTGTAAAGAAAATTCAAAAAAGGAATACACATAGAAAAAAGTATCACTATAATCAACAAAATCATCTTCACAGCAAAAATGTTAAGTTTATCTCCTAACTTACCAAAAAAGTATGGCAAAAACACCCTGCTGGTGATGGTATATAACTGTTTTGGAAATAATCTTGTCAACCAGGCAAAGCCATGTAATGCTGTTACTTATTAATCTATTATATCATGAAATTACCAAAATATGGTATAAAGGGAAGGCAGGGAGAACAATATGTTCTGTACCAAAAAAAAAAAAAAAGGAAACCACCAAAATGTATAAATGAAAAGACACTGGTGGGCATGGTAAGTATTAAGTAGCAATTTAAAAATGTTTATAAAAAAAGACCTATTTAAAGTTTAGCACTCAAATTATAACTACGTCAATACTGTAGCAACATTAACCAACCACAAATGGTTATAAAATGACTTATTGCCATAAAGTAAAAAAATCCATCTATGTAAAAACACGAATGGAAAATTTTGCATAGAAGAGAAAAAAATTAAAATGGTAGTGTCTCCATAGTTGAATCATGACTGTCTTCCCTTATGTAAAACTATCAAAAGTGGTGGATTTGAGGTTCTGTCAAAACTGAAAGTTAAAAATATAAATTACTATAGAGGGGAAGG